CGCGCGGGAAGGGCGTGCGGTGCATCTTCCCGATGGTGCAGGCCTCACAGAACTGATCGAGGTGCGCGATCGCTGGCATACCGCGCACCATGCCTTTTGCACCGAGATCATGCAGAGCGCGGAAGTGCAGGTGCCCGAACCTTGCGTGCCACCTCCAGGCATTGTCCTGGGCTCCGGAGAGGAGGCACACGGGAGCGGCCAAGTTCAGAGCCACGGCGTAGAGCCGGTTGCTCGTCCGCCGCACCCGTGCGAGCAGTAGTCTCTGTCTGTCATACAGGCAGAGTTCCCCGTCCTCGATCACGGCTTTGCAGCCGTGATCATCGAGCTGCCCAACACTGACAATGCTTGTGCGTAGTTGCGGGATGTAGTAGACGTCGGCGAGCGCGCGATGTTCTCCGTTGCGGCACGTGAAGAGCACGACGCCACGCCCACAAATCTGCACAACCGAGCCGTCACCAAAACGTACAGTACCTCGTACCGTCTCGTCGAGCTCCGAGAGCATGTCGCGGCGCCCCGTCATGTGATTGCTAGCGCCGGTGTCGAGGTACCATCTGTCGTCGTCCGTCGCCACGGGCACGACCCGTGCTTCGTTGAGGAAGATCTCCGCGCCCGGTTCACGTGCGCCGCCGTTCGCGCTCTCGCCGCTTGCTGCCGCGCAGGTGGCCAGCAGTAAGCCCGGCTGCTCGACGTCGACCTGGGCGACGTTCGCCTGTTGGTCCGTCTGCTCCCGCCGCTCCCTCTCCTTCTTGCGGCATTCCTTGGCCCAGTGACCTGGGATGCCGCAGTAGCGGCAGTTGCCCTTCCGTTTGGGCGTCGTCGGACCACCATTGGCGCGGCCACCGCCCTGGCCACGGCCACCCCCTCCGTGGAAGTTCTTTGCCTTGCCATTCCCGCGTCCCCGCCCTGCTCCAGAGCCTGAGGACGCACCGCTTTGGTCCAGCTGCTTCTCGTGCGCCCGCCACTGATCGATGGTGTACAGCAGCTGCGCGCCGGGCGCCGGAGTCTCCTCGCGCTCTCGCTCCTCGACGACGAGGAGCCGGCCGCAGAGTTCCTCTAGGGAGAGTTGTTTGGTGTCGACTAGCGACTCGATCGCCACGGCCATCTCGCGGTACGGGCGTGGCACGGTGCGGAGCACCTTGAGGACGGCCTTGTGTTCGTCCACTGGATCGCCGAGCCCCTGCAGCTCGTCGATGATTGTCCTGAGCCGCATCACGTACGACTCGATTCCCTCGCCGTCCTTGTACCGGAGCGCCTCGTACTCTGAGCGGCGAGTTTGAGCCTTGGCCTCACGCACACGCTCGACGCCGATCCGCATGGTCTTCAGAGTGTCCCACGCCTCCTTGGCAGTGGCCTTGGCGCCCAGGATCCGCATGAGCTCCGGCGGTACCCCCTTGAGGAGAGCAATCATGGCGCGCCGATCGTCGCGGTCCGTCCCTTGGCCTGTTTCCACCACATGCCACAGCTCATCAGCCTGCAGCTGAAGTTTAGTGATCATGGCCCAATCAGAGTAGTTAGTACGGGTGAGCATCATGGGAGGCGCGCCGCCGCCGCCACCGTGCACGATGCGCTCCACGACACGCACCCCCGACCCTTCCTCGGTAGAGAGACGGGCCAGGGACCTTCCCAGTGCCGAGGCCTCCGCCTTAGCCTCCTCTTCCTCTTCCTTCTTCTTCGCCTTCTCTTCGTCGCTGCCGGCCATCTCTCCGACGGATCAAACACCGCCGGCGCCCAGGATGGATCGAACACCACCGAGGCTCTGATGCCACTTGTTGTTGCAGAAACTGACCCACCGAGCGAGAGAGAGGGAAGGAGGAAGATCGGATCGCAAGGAGGATGAAGTCTGACAGAGTCTTTTTCGCTGCTGAACTGCTTGCAGCCTTTTCAAGTGTTTCTGTTATTTATGCAGAGCTCAAAACGAGTTGCCGAATACAAAGGAGATCACGCCCACGCACACCTAGCCTACTGATCGTGCCATCCCACGATGCTAAGTTTGCGCGAGCAACTACGCCGCCGCCAAATCCGCTGCATCTCCACGCCATCCCATGGAAGCGGTCTTGCCGGCGCTTAACTGAACTAACTGAAGAAAAACAGAAAACTGAACCGGACGTGGACATGCACACGCTTCCGGCCACTTATTCAGCTAATGCAACTTAGTGTAAAACTGATACTAGCAACTAGGATTATACTTCAGGCCGGTCCGATGGGTTCGGGTTGCTGCATGACAGACCGAGGAGCAGCAGCCGGGCGGCATCGTCGGCGTCGAACCCCGCCTCCGAAGCTCGGAGCTCGGCGTCAACCGCTTCGAGCAGCCTCCCCTCCTGATGGAGCCACCAGGCCCAGTCGACGAGCAGCGGGAACTCGTCGTCCGCTTTGCCGAGCGACCTCCTGCCGGTGACGACCTCGAGGACCAGCACCCCGAACGCGTAGACGTCGGTCTGCCGGGTGGCCTTGTGGCTGACGGGGTACTCCGGCGCGATGAAGCCCCAGGTGCCCGCGACGCCGACGTCGGTGAAGGAGTTCTTGTCGAAGCCGACGACTCGCGCGAGGCCGAAGTCGCCGAGGCGGCCGCGGAAGGCGGAGTCGAGCATGATGTTGCTGGCCTTGATGTCGCGGTGGAGCACCGTGCGCTCGTACTCGTGGTGGACGTAGTGCAAACCGGCGGCGACGTCCTTCACAATGTCGTAGCGTCTCTCCCAGGGCAGAACTGGCTGTTGGTGGCCACGGTGCTGCTGCCTTTCGTGGAACAGGTGCTTGTCTACGCTGCCATTGGGCATGTACTCGTAGATCAGCAGCAGCTCTCCATTCTCGTAAGACCAACCTGAAAATAGTTGTGTCATAGTATATAGTACTCCTATATACGTACAAGATTAAAAATGGTAATGCTAAAATCTGAGTCAGATTTTTAAATCATGACAAATCAAACATTTTTAATGGCAATTTATGTTGATGCGAGGATGACATATTTAGTTTGTAAGCATGGCAATTTTCTTGCAAAACAATGATTTGTCATCCTTGCCATCCTCGACAAATATAAATTGTCATAAAAAACGTTTGATTTGCCATGATAAATAAAAATCTAACGTCATATTTACAGTTGGGTACTTAAAAAAATACTACCAGTATAGTCACAGATGTGAAGTTGGGGGTTTTGTGACAAAAAAAAAAGTGGAACAAGTAGTGGCACTAATATATGAAGTTAAGGGATAAAATATGACAATTTTTGTAAATACAGTAACTAGTGCCACAACACGTATCTTTAGGGGTAAAAACTGTCATTTACTCAAAAGTATTATAACATGAAAATATTATGAACAAGAAATCTGGTTATGCTATTTCCATCATATATACCACAGTTCAAATCAAATAAAATTATACAATCTTTGTTCCATTTTACTTGACGTTTTTAACCTTGTCAAATATTCAGGTTGCTAATCTGGACCACTAATATTCACATCAGTTCATCAAGGCTCGTATAGTATAGTTGTACACATATAATATTAGCAAAATGTTAAAAAGATTGTATGAAATTTCAAAGTAGATGATGGCCAAATCTACACATAATAATACTTTTTGACATTGGCTCCTAACCAAAAGAAATTATTTTGATTGATATGATCAACTAATAAATTATTAATTGGAAGTGAATGATAGTTTCATGGCATCGTTTCACAATTTCTGTGTATATATGCATCAAATGTAATGCTTGTAATGCTCAGCTTCTCGAAAAAAAATATGTAATGCTCAGCGAAGTTTGCTAGAGCTAGTGCCAAAGTGTAAAACATCATATGTTTAGAAAGGAGGAAGTAACTTCTGTGTACCAATCAAATTAATAGATTTAAACCTACTTGCAGTTGAAGTTCAATTGGAATCTAAATTTGCAAGCAAAAATAGATGGACGCTAAGTTTGCCATGAAAAGGCATAGTGCATAGTTATTTAACACATTACTTTTCTTTGCTGAAATCTATGTTCACGTATATAGTCAGTTTACAACCAAAAAGGTTCTAAGACAAGCAGTTTGCCACCAAATTTAAAAACAGGGAATAAAAAAAATCATATATAGAGTGATCTTGGGCAGTTGGGCTTCCGTTTGCTACCATCATCAACCAAGGAATAGAGATTGTTAAGGCCTTATTTGGTTTACTGGAATTTTGTAGAAATTCTATAAGGTAAGATTTCTGTAAGAAATTTCTTCTTTAGAGACCTTTAGTTTACAGGAATAATATCTTTTTGGGTCTGTCTAGGACACATCTAGATGTGACATAGTTATGTCACATCTAACCTGATGTCCACTCTATTTGTGGTCTTTTTTTTGTCCTAGTTTTTTTGTTTCTTGTTGCTGCATTATATATTTGTGGGAGCTTAGATGTGACATCCTTAAAAAACATCTAGATGTGAATTAGACAAACTGTATCTTTGTACTCTCTCCGATGCAGACCAGAGCAGTTCAAATCGCCTGTTGGTCTTACCGCGCAAATTCTTGATGAAATTAAAGATTGGAGCTTGCGGGTGCACGTAGGTGTTGGAGGATTAGATGGTTTTGTGAGGAGTTAGACTTAGTTCTCTTTGTGTGATGTTAGTGTATCCACATTTGATGTTCTCATCAAACATTGGACTCTTGTAATTTATTTGCTTCCTTCTATAAAAATATGGTACATCTTTGGCATACTCTCAGAATTTTTTTTCTCTCCAATGCATATTAATTGTTGTTGATTTAGTATAAAATTGTATTAAACTAGTGACAATTAATATGGAGGAGGGAGTACTATACATGGGAATGATTCCTATCCTTCATATTTGAAAAGAAGTTCGGACTCAATGGGGAAACCCTTATCGTATACAATATGAACTAAATGACTTATCTTTTATTAAAGATATTTTTGAGATACATGTCATCTGACTTGCTATAGCCTTTCTATTTGACCATATTTCTATCTTATGAAGCAAAGGAGGAGGAGGCCTAAGTTTGTAAAAACGGTTCAAAGTTCCAAACACATACAAATCACCGCCAAGCCCACTGCGAGTGAACGCCGTATGGGTATGCTGCACAGGCCGGCCGCCATAGATCGACTTCCTCCCGGAGGATGGCACATCCCGCCCGCCTCGTGGGGTCAGGAGGGTAATATACCGGCGGCTGGTAGACGTCGTCGGTGGTGAGGTGGAGGGCTCCGTCTATGATGCCTGCGTCCCAGGAGCTCTCCAGCTCATCGTTCTGGAGCTGGAAGATGCAAACGCCATGGTCCTGCTCGCGGGAGTAAGGGATGTAGGAGGGCCCACAATCGAAAAACGATTTTGCGGTACAGGGGCGCAAGACTATCACCGATACAAGGATGCATCGCAACAGACCTGCTGGCAACGGCGACAGACTTACTACATGCTTCAGCTCCCGCCGGTGCCAGGGAAGAAGGTCGACCATCGTCGTCGCGGACTTATGCTCCTTTCCCCCGCTTTACTTTCGTATATAAACTACTCTTCTCCTCTATCTTCTTAGTTCTTATCTTCTGATTTTTGGTTCATTTATTATATACGGACGTGATGAGTGCATTCGAGTCCATGAGCAGGAAATGCAGTGGCACCGCTGTGGAAACGTGGACCGGTGACACCAGCGGCAAGATGACACGTACGTATTCAGGTTTGTGGTCAAGAAAACGCGTCGACAAGTCAAGTCCAAGCAGTGGACAGGTGTTTTCTTTTTTCCTTCGATTCCTTTTCTTTGCTGTGCAAGAAGAGGTTAGATAACCAAGGGGAGACTTGACTTAGTGTGGGATCTTACGAAAGAGCTTCTCCAGCCATTCGGCCCCCCAAAGGCATTTCTAGGCAAAAAATAACATCTCTTGGGGCCCGCCGGCCATAATTTGGGCGTGGGGGGGGGGGGGAACCAATTCCCAGTCGCGATAGCAATGTTATGGGCGATTTTTTAAAAGCCCAAAATTTGATGAAATTCAGTAACTTTGGACGAAATATAGGTGATTTTATTGATATTTGGCGAATTTTTACATAGATAAAAACATTAAAAAAAACTACTCATAGTTCATGCCGAGGAGTTTGTAGAAGGCGGTGTAGCCGTCGCTGCCGTTGCCGTCGTCGCCGTCGCTCGGCGGCCCGTCCTTCGGGGCGTCCTTGCTGCAGCCCTGCCCTGGGTCGCCGCTGCGGACCGACAGGCTCGGTGTAGCGACCTCCGTCGTCGCCGTCGCTCGGCGGCCCGTCCTTCGGGGCGTCCTTGCTGCAGCCCTGCCCTGGGTCGCCGCTGCGGACCGACAGGCTCGGTGTAGCGACCTCGTCGTCGCTGTTGGAGAGCACGTCAACGCCGCCCTCGTCGTGGTCGCGGCGCCGCGCGCTGACGCTCCATCTCCTGCGCAACGTAGTCCTGCGGCGATCATAAGAGGCCGGTCTCGAGGTCGATGGCCATGGTCTCGTGCTCCTTCTTCACGGGGAGGAGTGCTGCCGACTCCTTCTTCGGCTTGACCAGGCGGGAGTGGCCGCGGGGAGGGGAAAGGATGCGGCCGTCCTCATTGATGACAATGCCGCCGCGGGTGCGCCGACCGGGTGGTGTCTCCTGCGGCTCGGGCTTGACGGAGAGGAGTGCCCACTACAAGAAATATGTCAACTTATGACCACCACTATTGGTCACTGAAAGGTCACAAATTTCCATTTATGACCTTTTTGTGACCAAAAACATAAGGTCAAAAGTTGGGCGTCGTAAACTGACTATAGCGACCTTTCTTCTGGAATGGTCGCAAACGTTTATGATCAAAATACGTCTACTGTGGCGTTTTGGTCACTAGCAACCTCCCCAGGCCACGTAGGCATCCAGCGTGGCAATCTGACGTGGCACAAGATTCAGCCCGGTACAATTCGGTGTTTATATGGGCCAAGCCCATTAATTCAGCCCATTTATATTTTTTTCCTCTGTGCTTTGATTGGCTAAATGGGCCTGGCCCAACAATTAGGATTTTTTTTTCTGAGATGCAGTCTTTTACAATCCATTTTTTTGGGCCTCAACCTTTTTAGAATCTGAAAGTTATATTGCTCTTTTTAGAAACAAGTCCAACATAGTTTGGGCCATGGCCTTTTTAGAGCCCAAGTATTGAGTGCAATATAAATTCTGGACATGGCCTTTTTACAATCCAATAGTGGGCCAAGCCCTCTTTTATTTACAGCCAATATTCTCAAATCAGTATAGTAATAGTACTTCTTTCCCACAATAATAACACAAGTATAGAAAACTTTCTCACACAACTTTATCTCGCATAACATTAGACAGATGAACACATATCAATAACTTATCTCCTATGTTCACAAATACATAACTTTTGGAATAGCGGCACAAGCTGCAGCAATACAAGCATTCAAAAAGCAGAAGCCAGCAAGCAATATCCATCAGGAGGTGCCTTGCATACTGCCTCCTTCGAGCCTGCGAGAGAAAAACAAGGTGAAGGTCAGTACCCATCAAAGATGCTGCTGTTCTGGGTCAAGCCAAGTCAAGCGCATAAGAGAATTTAGTCAACAAAAATTAACATGTGAACACCTTTCACAATCATCATTTATAAAAAAAACATATGCAAACAGTTGTACAATGGTTGAGTGCTCATACTTCTATTATATCAGGCAATAGCATTTACCAATAGTGATGATCAGTGCAATAGGAACATGCAAACAGATGTAGAATAGGAACATGTCATGTATCTTTCAAATATGCAAACAACTGTACAAATATTCATCACAGCAACCTATAACCACCTATGCTTACAAATCAGAAAGTAGACATATATACTGAACAAAAGCAACAACCAGGAATAGATGACTTAACAGTTCATGTTTGTTAACAAAACAAGAGTGGACATCTCACAGTGAGTTAACTATCTGATGAATTTAGTAAAACAAAGACTAGCATTCGGTGCTACAAGAGACAAAATAGGAATCCAAGTATCCCAACATCCCAATGTATGGATACATAAATGTCGCACCAAACACAGATACATGAATCGACATCTCACACTGGTACTAATCATGCATGCATCACCTTAGGAAAATATATTGTAAGTGCGTACTAGCATCATGAAACAACCAGAGATTCAGAACAAGTCGTGGCTCTGAAATCCTTATAACCAGAGATTCATGTACCCAACTGAAGCAAAAACAAGCAGCAGAAAAAAGCCCCTCCTACTGACTAATTGCTCCAGAAAAAAGCCCCTCCATAGCCAGCAGTAATCATATTTGATTTATACGACCGAATTGAGCGCAGGTAGTAGATCAGCCATTGCATAGCGACTGAATTTGAAATCTAACTGAAAAACTGGGTGGAGCACTAGCCAAACTGACACGGAAACAAGTAAACCAACACAGGTACGATCACATTGTCATCACGACACCGAGCAAACACTGAAGAAAGAAGGAAGTGACCAGCACAGAATCGAGCAGTAATAGAGAGGGGGAGGGGAGACGGGCAACTTACAACATCACTTGGGACTTCCACTTCTCACCACCGGCCTTGCCAATCTGCAATTTGAACCCCATACCAGATCAGGACACAGAAATCACAACAAAACTCATGGTAGCACCAGTTCAAACGAGCAACAAGACGTCATGATTTAAGTTTCATTCCATCCATTACAATCATAGTCCAGAGAAATCTAGAACAAGAGCTGCCTACATGCAACTTCATTCTGACTAGCAGCACTAATTTTTTTTGCACAAGAAGAGCAACAGATTCAGTGGCAACAGAGTGAACAAGACAAAAAGAGTAGAATAATTGAATGATTGCAATGTTCAGTGGCAACAGAGTGAATACACAGATACTGCAACATAAGAAAAGTTGTGGAGCAGCTGTACAAAGTGAATACAATCATATACATTGGCCAACTAACCACATCCATACACATCTTTGGCAATGATGCTACATATTAAATACACCAAAGTTTAACACAACTCCTGGTCCAACCATCTTTGGCAATGTAGATTCAGATAGCATAAAACAAACATGCAGTACAACTTTTTTTATTAGGCATGAAACAGAGCAATTATTAACTTTCACTGCTAGGACTAAAAGAGATTATCAGTCGACATACATTGAGGTCGTTCCAGTGAGAATGTGCACCAACTTAGTTTTCCCCCTCTGCACAAGCTCATGGGAATGACCTCATCCTCCTCGACATAATCGCAGTGCATGGAACTAAAAGGCGTGAAGCTTGCAGCATGTAGTGGTTCTGTACTTTTTGGGGGCTGTGATCCGATCGAGTACTAATAGGCTGAGATGTGTGTCAACACCTCATCTAACCCCCTTGCAAGCACATGGTGCAAGCCCACAGTTCAACCTGTTAAAACTGCTAATTCTTGGTTCTGCATAGTCATGACAGCACAGGCAGAGGCGAGAATTTATCCAAGTAATGAGTAGGCTTTCTTTGAATATTACAAGTAGTGTGAAATAGTGGTCCAAAAGTGAAGGGGATTCCCATGAAATGCAACTGAAATTGGTACGAACTGGATTATTGTGCCCGGTTGGATTATGGCAGAGTACGTTATGCTTCACATCATCATCACGAGGCCAGAGATCACGAGATTGATTACCTTCCGTGTAAACAAGGAGAACTGAGCGGCACAGCCCTGGCAGTTGGAGGCATCCAGCACCCAGGTCGCCCCTCGCATCGACGGCTTGGGCGGCAACCCGATCTTTTCCAACATCGCTACTGGCAGGAAGAAACCCTGCTTGTCTGCGAACAAAGAACTCTGCAGGTTAAATTTAATCACTAGAACCCAGATGAAGTTGAACAAAGAACTCTGTGATGGCGACGATTGAGAGGGGCGCAACTCCTGACTAGCGATCCGTGGATCTGGAGCGACAACTCATGAGTGCCGTGCGGGGATGGTGAAGGAGAGGTGGAAGAGGAGGGGGGGGAGGAGGCTAACCTTGTCGGCCTTGCCCTTCTTCCCGTTGGCGGCTGACTTCTCGGCCCCCTTGCTCCTCACCACCAACCTACAAGGAGCAGCCGAGCCTCTCTCATCTCCAGGAAGGAGAGAGAGATGGAGAGGGGCTCGTGCAGCTTCGCGGGATGCGAGGAGTAGGGGTGGGAGGCGTAGCGCGAGGCCTTGAGCGCCTCCCTCCAGGTCGGGCTGCGTGGCGGCGTCGCGGTCGATCCGCTCCGAGACGTGTAGCCCTGCCGAGGCGACGTGGGGCTGATGGCCTCATCCTCCGCCCACGCCATCATCGGAGCGTCGCGCCTCTGCAGGGAGGAGGGGCGGGACGGCGAGCAGTAGTCGGGCGGCGGCGAGGTAGGATCTGGGATCGAGGGGAGGGGGAGGGTGAGTGGGCGGATCGGATCTGGGATTGAGGGGAGGGTGGGTGGGTGCGTGGGTTAGGGTTTTTTTCTCGGCACAAGCTCCACCGCTGGATGGGTGCGCGATGGACGGCTCAGACTG